AGAGCTCAAGGAATGGCCTGACCGAGCTCTGCTCCTCCCTAGAGCTCAAGGAATGGCCTGACCGAGCTCTGCTCCTCCTCAGAGTTCAAGGAATGGCCTGACCGAGCTCTGCTCCTTCATAAGGAGCTCAAGGAATGGCCTGACCGAGCTCTGCTCCTCCTCAGAGCTCAAGGAATGGCCTGACCGAGCTCTGCTCCTCCTCAGAGCTCAAGGAATGGCCTGACCGAGCTCTGCTCCTTCTCAGAGCTCAAGGAATGGCCTGACCGAGCTCTGCTCCTTCATAAGGAGCTCAAGGAATGGCCTGACCGAGCTCTGCTCCTCCCTAGAGTTCAAGGAATGCTTTTCCCTGTACGACACGAAGCAGAAAGGGAAGATCCGAGGCTCGGAGCTGCTGGCCGTGATGCGCTGCCTCGGCGTCAGCCCCACGCCCGGGGAGGTGCAGAGGCACCTGCAGCTGCACAGGATCGGTGAGGCACAAGGATTCATCCCGGGAAATTCCCTTTTCCTGCACCCCAGCCAGCAGGAGCTGTTGTGGTGTGTGAAATACAGCCCGAGGATTAAACCAGCGCTGTTAAAATCCCTAAAAAAAAAGCAGGAGGCAAAGGTTGAATATGGATTTGGAGGGTGGGAGGCTGTCCGGGCCAGAAGGATGTTCAGCTGAGGGTCTGTGGGAAAAACAAAGCACAGAAACCGAGGAATTGTGAGATCGGGGTGTGGGGGGATTGAAAATTCAGGATCCGGGTTCAGAGAACAAATTTAACAGAGTTACAAATGGGATTTGAGGAGAAAAACCCCATTAGTGCCATGGTCTGATCCAGATCAGGGACAGGGAAAGGAAACCCCAGGAAAGGGAAAGGAAACACCAGGAAAGGGAAAGGAAACACCAGGAAAGGGAAAGGAAACCCCAGGAAAGGGAAGTGGGGGAGGACGAGGAGGGGTTTTTTGGGATCCAGTCCCCAACCAGAGCCGTTCCCACAGGACCTGCCCTTCCTTTGCAGACAAGAACGCAGAGCTGGACTTCTCCACCTTCCTGAACATCATGTACAGGCAGATGAAGCAGGAGGAGCCCGAGGAGGAGATCCTGAGGGCCCTGGCCATGCTGGACAGGCAGAAGAGAGGAGTGATCTCCGTGCCCGAGCTCCGCGCCAAGCTCACCCGCCTGGGCGAGAAGCTCTCCGAGGAGGAAGGTACCCTGCAATTCCCCCTGGGACTTTTCCTTTTCCCTTTCCTTTCCTTTCCTTTCCTTTCCTTTCCTTTCCTTTCCTTTCCTTTCCTTTCCTTTCCTTTCCTTTCCTTTCCTTTCCTTTCCTTTCCTTT